CACGGTCGTTCGGCGGCGAATACGCGACAGGTGAAAATTTAACGACGAGTTCCAACCGTTCGAACGTAATCCTCTTTATTCTGTCGCGAGTCTATTTTTCAGGGAGATTCGCCGAGCTGAGCCGCGGTTGAAAGAACGGAGAAGGAGAAAAGGGGAAGAGATGAAAATTTCATTTGGCGATCTTCAATTCTCGGGACTGTCGATGTTCGAACGTCGCTAGTTGGGATCGAGTGTATTTCTGGTTATCTTTATTCCTAGCCTGACTTGTCGATTTTTCTCAGAGAAAGTGCATAGAGGCGCCGTTTCATAGCTACGATTGACCGATACAAATATTAGCTTCTAAAATAGGAAGAGAGGAACGGTATTAACCCTTTGAGTGACGTAAAGATACCGAAACGACAGGGGATGTTCGTTTCTGTGTATGAAAATATTGGTTATTTTACGTGGAGGGTGGTTTGGAAATAGGCCACCTTGATGCTGACGTTATAAAAATTTATATTAGTGAAAAGTTAGTGACGGTAAGAGGCAAACGTGATAAGAATAGTAAAGAAATTTTGTACACCTGTCCTCCAGTACACCTGGGTTTCCTCAGAATACCGTGTAAATCGAAATCATGGCTTTTTCTATGAAAAACCGTGTAAATCGGGGAAAAAGGAAAATGCGCATAATTTAGTCAGTGATTGAATTAAATTCATTATTTTAAATGTAAAATAAAAAAGAAAAAATATTCAGGGTCAGGGTTTAGTTTCGAGCGAGCGATCGACGAAGGCGAAAATAGCCGGTCGCCAATGAAAGATCCGCGGCGGCGGCAAACTTTACGTTACAATATGAATGCTTTTTGTGTGCAAAAAAGGGGGAAATTCCGTTCATTTTTTGGTTCAACGCCAGTGTTAACAAACGAACGGTACTAAAAAATGTCTGTACAAACTTTTATTTTTAACAGTTTATATTTCTGAAAAGCCGTTATTTTGAAAACCGTGTATGCCAGTGTTAAAAAATGACTGTACAAACTTTTATTTTTAACAGTTTATATTTCTGAAAAGCCGTTATTTTGAAAACCGTGTAAATCGGGGGATAGGTGTATTTGCAGAAAAATTTAGCGAACAGTGCAATCTAACTTTGGTTCAACGTTTAACCCTTAACTACAGTGAAAAATGAACGCTTATAAGAGAAATGTTTTATTCGTAGAAAAATTCAACGAATAATGCAATCGAACTTCAGTTCAACATTTAACCCTTGACTACAGACTTCTGCCTTCAAGATGTTATCGCGAATTAATTCAGAGGCACCACTGAAATTCTCCTCATGATTGTAATAGTGAAATAAAAAACTTTCCACGTGGTTGTGATAGTGAAATAAAAGGTTCTCCACGTGACTATGACGGTAAAATAAAAAAATTCACCTGCAAACTTCTCCTCGCGATTGTAACAATGAAATAAAAAATTCTCCACTTAATTGTAACAGTGAAATAAAAAATTCTCCACATGATTCTAACGATAAACTAAAACTTCAGAATCACTTCCGAGACGAGCGATCTGCAGCAAAGGGTCGACCACTCGAAGGGTTAAAAAATTTACCAAAATTCTTCCGTACACCTCGAATCACCGTCCTATTTAACCACAGTTTATTCGCAAAAATCGCGAGAAGCTCGAGCCAAAAACCCCGTTCCTCCGCGTGAATAATCATAATACCGGAACGAATATCAGTCGCGTTCGAAACACGGAATCGCAGAAGCGGGTTTGGTGAAAAAATCGGTCGTGCGACTCCCGTGTGTGTCTCGGGGGGGCGGGTGAGAGAGCGGGCAGTGCGAGGTATGCGAATATAATAATCGTCTCGCCACTCGTCAAAGAGTTGCTCGTTTCTCGATTATGTGCGCGCGCGCTCTGGTTTTCCTTACCTTTTCGGACACTTCGGGGATCGATTTTTTCGTACATGGCCCTCCTCAGTGTCCCACCTCGCTCAGCGTATATTTGCCCATAAATCTCTCTTATTTCTTTCTCTTTTCTCTTATCGTTCCGTATCTATACATGTGTATCATTTTGCTCGCTCTCTCAATATTCTCCGTAAATTATCGTTCTTTGCTTCATTCCAAATCATTTCTCGCCTGACTTTCAATCTTTCTTTCTTTCTCTCTCTAGCCGATCTCTAAGCTCTTATTATTCATTTTGCCGCACGCGTCTCGAATCTGTCTCCATTCCCTTGTGTCGCGCGGTAGAACGACTCTATATGGGGACAACAAAAGAGACTCGCGTCAGACACTTGTTTCTTTCGTTCCTCGCGTTATTCAGCATCCTCGAGTTCGCTGGCCTCAGCAACTTTTACTTTCTTTCTATTATTCGTCTTTCTTTTTTTTATATGTACATGCATGTATGTACTTTTTTTTTCTCCTCGATCTTTTTTTTTTATTCACTTTACTTTCGTTGGAATTATTACTTTTTTTTTTTTTTTGTTGGTTTCGTTATTATTTCGGAGCTGTCTCGAGCGCGTCCACCCCTTCAACTTCGTCGCTTTCGCGTGGTTCACGCCAGCAACGCGATCCTTTCGAGAGGTCTCTCAGTTTCGGAATTACTCTGAGTTGCATGATTAATTTGGTAATTATGTTGCGCGTTGCTAACGCGATCCACGCGTTGGTTCTCCGCTTGCACCTTCGGGAGGCGTCGCGACGCAGCCTGGCAATGGCGACGTGAACGTGTCTGGAGAGAGGAATTAGTTATTCAGAGGTACGCGTGAATTTGACGCGATCGATGAGAGAAATCAGATGACATAATTCGGTTGGAAACGTCACGCGAAGATTGTGCTTCTTAATCGAGTTGTTTAATAAGCTTGCGCGGGGTTCTGACGCATTAACTAGAAATTTCGAAGATATTAGACGCACATTTTTTAGTACTTTTTAGTCAATTTTGAAAAATTAATTTGTCTATGTACTTCGATATTTTCAGACAAACTTTAGATACAAATTTGGCTCAATTTGGAAAGTTCATTTGCATACGTACTGCAACACTTTCAGACACTTTTCAGACAGTACTTTTCTCTAGTATTTGGTCCAATTTTGAGTAATTAATTTGTTCATATAGAGTAACAGTTGCAGACAAATTTTAATTAGAAATTTTTTTCAATTTTGAAAATTTTGCAGGTTTACAGACAAATTGCAATTAGAAATTTTTCCCTAGTATTTGGTCCAATTTCGAGTAATTAATTTGTTCATATAGAGTAACAGTTGCAGACAAATTTTAATTAGAAATTTTTTTCAATTTTTAAAATGTTGCAGGTTTACAGACAAATTGCAATTAGAAATTTTTCCCTAGTATTTGGTCCAATTTCGAGTAATTAATTTGTTCATATAGAGTAACAGCTGCAGACAAATTTTAATTAGAAATTTTGCTCAATTTTGAAAATGCTGCAACGTTTACAGGCAAATTTGAAAAAGAAATTGTTCTGCAATTTTTAAAGCACGGCAACATTTGCAGACAAATTTGAATTAGGAATTGTGCTCAATTTGGAAAGTACAGCAACGTTTACAGTCAAATTTTACCAAGAAATTTTTCTCCAGTATTATATCCAATTTAAAATAATTGATTCGTTCGTACACAGTAAAATTTACAGACAAATTTGAAATTTCTCTTCAATTTCGAAAATACTGCAACATACCAAGAAATTTTTCTTCAATTCTGAAAACGCTGCAACGTGTTTACAGGCAGATTTGAATAAGAAACTGTTCTCTAATACTCTCCTCAATTTTGAATAATTAATCGCGAGTCACAGAAGGTTCTATTCAACAGTTCTCTCTACTCTGTTTCACGCCACCCGAGTTCGTAGCTTCGAAGCAACACTGTACCCGGTAGATTAATCGCGTTATTCGATCAGATTAAGTCGCTATTACCGCATATCGACACCGTGCCAGGCATCACGCTCACGAGAACGATAAACTAGTAACCGACAATCGATAATAAAATATTCAACCCTGTCTTCCTCTGTATAAATCAACAGACAACCCTGAAACAACGCCATTGCCACGATACACTGCCTCGCGATTAATTTTAGCGGAGCTTTCGGTCCATTGTACACCACGATATTCAATCGATCCAATAAAAAAAATAGAGACCTCTCTAATCAAACAAAAGAATTTGTACCGCATCGCGGACACGATTAATCCCGGACACGAAGTGTCCAAGTAATTCCGCTAATTTCCAAACGATCTTCGACCGTCGATCGATCAATCCCACTTAAAATCCCTAAATTTCCCAATTTCTAACTTATTCCCATCTTCAAACAGTAATCACCCCTCGATCAATCGCCCGAAATTAAATAAACCAAAAATCGTGGACCACAGCTCCGCGAAAAGAAAAAAAAATCGTCGAATCGCGTTTCAAAACGAGATTCGTCCTTCGAGGCGCAAGCCTTTCATCGTGGAACCGATATATTCGCCTTAAATCTAAACACGCGTAGCTCGTGCTGGTAAACTCTCTCGGCAAATAAAAGAAAACAATTTCACCCGTTTATATCAAGCTTTACCGCGAGATTCATTAGACATCGTAAAAAAAAAAAAAAAAAAAAAAAAGGGGGACGAAAAAAAGAAACGATAAAGGATTTACGAGCACGATATCGATCCACGCGCGATCACATACTTAAGATCTAAGATTAATCTCAAGTAAGGCGACCAACGTTATGGAAGTTCAAAAAATTAGAAGCAGCGTTTGTCATTGTAGTGTTGTTAGATACAAAGAAAAAAAAAAAATAAAGAAGATCGACACAAGCGGCACGCTGGTCGCCTGTTGATCAAACATATGTATATATAGATATGTGTGTACGAGAAGCACGAGCAACGACGAACACGAAAGAGCAACTTTTTTTTCACTGTATTCTCGAACAACAATTCCGTTCGTTCACAATTGCTCGAGCTTCTCGCGTGCAACCTGCAAAGAATTACAACACGTGTATATTGAAAAGAAAAAATGAGAAAAAAAAAAAAGAAAAAAAAGTATAAGAATGTTCATGCACACCTCAATCTTTCTGCCCTCAACCACGGTGCCGTGTAGCCTCTCACGTGCCCGGTCCGCGTCAGCACTATTTGCGAATGTTACAAAACCGAATCCCTGCATGCAAGGACAGACAAAACAACATGCATTAAACTCAACTTACAGACTGCCAGCGCTCGGCAAACGGCCGACTGGCAGCCCCGACATTTCGTGCTTTTTCTGTTGTACAAAAAAAAAAAGGAAAACAAACGCTTAACATCGTGTCGTTTGAGATAGAGAGAGAGAAAGTAACGAGAGTGAGGAGAGAAAATAGAGAACGTTTTGAGTAGAAGTTTGATAATAGAAAGAGAGAGAGAAATAGGTGAAGAGAAGGAAAGATGAAGAGCGACGAGCGGCGACGACCGGCTGTTTCAAAGCGGTCTGAAAGCGAATGGGTGCGTTTTCAGTGGGGGTGCTCCGCGTGCAAATCGCGCGGGAAACCTTTCCACGTGCGCCACCATCGAATTCGCATCGATTCGACCGGCTTTTCATTCAACAATTTAACGAAACAACGCAAGCTCTCTCTCTCTCTTTTTCGTCCTCCTCCAAGAAATCCTCGAGTTTCTTTACTCTCGCGCGTTTCTTTGCCCTTCTCTCGCCCCTTATCACCCTCTGATTCATCCGCGTTCCTTTTACTCTCAAACCTATTCTTACGTTTATTTCCCGGACGTACAATGGCCGTCTGCTGCGCTAATTAATTCTCGAGATTCTCCCTCTTTCTCCACGCCGACGAAACTTTCGCGGAATTTCTTTCCTCGTCGGGATACGTCGCGGCGAAGTCTTCAACCGAGTATCAGCGAGAAACTTAAGACGATTGGAATTCTCCCGATTGATATACCGGAAAACTTCAACGACAACCGAAGTCCGAGAACGGTAAGTTTCGAGTGCCCGATTGAAATTTGATTTTTCGAGCAATTTTTCGAGAGCAGAACTCTCGACGATTTTATCAGAGAGAAAGAAGGGTTTGAGAAGGGCGCAGAAGGGTAAATCGCGTGGAAAAAATACGTATGCGTAATTAAAAGCAGGAATAAATTATTTCAGCCGAAATGTCGGTTTGCCAGAGAGTCTGCGAGCGCGTCATACTGCTTACGGAGACGCACCAAACAACGTGCAACAAATAAGTAAATATAAAATCATGGTAAGAAATCATGGTCATGGTCACATTAATCATCTCATTATCATATCATATCATATCGTGTCATGTCATCATGGTCATCGTCATATCATTAAAGACTTCTTGCTTTGTACCGAGAGGTGCGTGTACGAGAAAAAAGAGAAATTAAAAGGTATGGCAAGGAGGAGACGGGTTAGAACACGAGGGAACAGGAGAAAGAAAGAAAGAGAGAGAGAGAAAAAAAAGAAGGGAAAATTTCGGAATTAAATTCAGGGTTTGTGTGTGTGTGTGTGTGTGAGACTCGCGTGTGCCTGTGTGTTGCCATTCTTAGTGTGTGTGCGATCGCTCTTCGATTGATACTCTCACGCGCAAACAGTGCTTGGAGAAAGCTTTTTACTGGTGCCCTCGACAGGGAAACACTTGCATTTTGGATTGTCACAGTTCAACGCGACACGCTCACACCATTTTTCAAAGTATACAGAAAGATAAGGAAAAACGAGAGAAAAATGAGTGCAAAAGAATGGGAAACTTCGCTCTGGAAATTAGGTAGAAAAGCCTCCTCTCGAACCGTAGCAACGAATGTCTACGACAATAAGAGAGGAAACGTGTATCTTTACCGAAGAAATGAATTTCGTGAAACCACAACAAGGAGAGATGGTTGGTGGTGGCGCGTACGGATAATCGAGTTCCTCTCCAGTCGCTGCCAGGAGCGGTTACGTATATCCAGACTGTCGCCACGGCTGAGAAATCGTATTAAAGCCAAATCAAATACGGCCTCTCGAAGAACGAAAGAGAGGAGAGAAGAGAAGAGAGAGAGAGAGAGTGCAAAGTTATCGGTGCTCCTGACGTAATACGCGGCCGAAGAACCCTGCTTCATCGCTGTTTCCTCTCTTCTTCTTCTTCCCTACCCTTCGTTGCTTTTATACCTCGCGAGGAACATCGTAACTCGTTTCGCCGGAGGGCTATAATCGAATCGATGGGGGGAAATTGAATTGCCCCGTGGAGAATTCTCGTGGAATAATCGAGAGCCACGATTTCTCCGCGCGTTTCGTTAATTAATCGGCGAGGGAGAGACGGAGGTGTAGTGAGCTGGTTGGTTAATGGAGGATAACCTTGGCGAGGGAGAGACGAGAGGAGGAACGATGGTTTTCAGGTGTTTCACGTGGTGGTCCTGATTTTGCTGGTTTCGCGGAGGGGATTCGTTCTCGAATTACGCGGAATTGGGGGAGTTCACCTTTTTGCAAGCTCTTGGAGGAATCTTGTGTCTTTTTATTTTGAGGCTGTTGCAACAAGGTTGATTCCTTTTTTTTTTTTTCGAGAATTCTTTACGGGATCGCTGAAGAATCGTGTGAATTCTTCGTCTAGAGTTGACGAGCAATTTTTATTTTTTAACTAAAGCTCGTTTTTTCTACGCTGAAGAAATGAGTTCTTTGAAGAATCTTTTAGAATATTTTTATCTCAAGGCTGTTGCAACCAGGTTCTTTCTTTTTGAGAATTCTCTACAGAATCATCGAAGAATTACGCGAGAAAGTGTTTCACTTCAAGCTACTGAGCAATGTTTATTTTTCAACTGAAATTTGTTTCTTTTCTACGCTGAAGAAATGAGTTCTTTGAAGAATCTCGTGTTTTTTATTTTGGGGTTGTTACACCAAGGTTCTTTCATTTTCGAGAAACGTCCTTCTTCACAGGATCATTGAAAAATTACGTGAATATTTCGCCTGGAATTACCGAGAAATTCTTACCATCCAATTGAAGTTCACTTTTTCTCACGACGAAGAAATCTCTCATCTTTTAACCCGAAGTTACTACAAAGTTTCCCTATGTAACTCAAAGATCAAAGAAATCAATCAACCCCTGATCGAAGTATCGAAATTAATTCCGAGACGGTCGCACCCATCTTTCTTTCCTTGACTTCGAGGAACCATAAAACAAGATCATTCAGAAACATGAAAATTTCACGAGTTTGTTACCATCTCGAATTCTTCCGACGAACTTGCCCGACTAGAAGATTTACGTCTCAAGCAATTCGGAACTTCTCCATTGCACCCGGAACTTCTCAACTCCTATTTTCAACTTGTGAATATTTTAGTCCACCCTACAGCTCTCCGACTTGCACTCTGAATTTTTTACCAACGCCTCCGTCACTCGAACAACCCCTTCGTCTTTCACGTCAGTCTGAAATATTTTCCCCGACAGAAATACAACCGCTTCTTCGTCCACGATTTTTTCAATTTATTTTTACTGAACGAAATGAACCTTGCGACGAACAATTCTCGCCGAAAAATAAAATATTCCCCTGTGAAACTGACGTGACAATTGGATCGACTGTTCCAAGAAACACGTATCGAAATAAATCAGCAAATAACAATTATTAAATTGAATAAAAGATGAGATAAATTTCGCGACGAACAATTGAGTTCTCGTCGAGAAATGAACAGGATAAATCGTATCGAAATAAACGAACAAATAATAAATAATATTAAATAACTCCAAATAACACCAACGATAGAAATCATTTGTTCGTTTATCCTCGCTCTAGCCGTCTTTCGAAAAAAGCACCACACGAACGGAATAAAACAAAGGGGGAGTGCGTAAATCTGGATTGAAAGAGCCGGCACAGGAGCAGCAGCCGTTCGATCGTGAAAGATTTTCAGCTGGGTGGAAAAGCGCCGTTTGTCGCGCGCTTTTCACCGAGTTCCCGCGAGCGCGAGTCGCGATTCACCTGGGAAATCAGCATAATGTCGATAAGCCGCGAGCGTACCGACAATGCGCCCGTTCCGAAAACGTAAGGGGAATCGAATAATCGCCGAATCGATTTGCATCGCTAGCGTCAAGCTTGCTCGCGCAATTTCCAACCTTCCCCGTGCAAATTTCAATACCGCCGTTTCCAAACTACATCGTTCCGCCTTCCCTATTCCTCCTCTGCACTTTTCAACAGCGAAATATCAGAGAAACGTCGAGTAAGCGGAGAAATTAGAAATTTCGCAGAGACGTGCTTTCCTAAGTGAAACAGCATCAACTATTTTTAAAAGTTTGCAATAATAAAATATATCTTTGGTTTGCTGAAACAGCGACAGAATGAAAAAATATTACATTTTTGTGGAAATTCGTTTGCTACTTTTTGCGACAGAAAGTTATCAATTATTCGACGATTTAGCAACGAAACGAATTTTCTTCTTTGGAAATTTAGCTAGTAATCTTTGGGATTTAAAGGTCCTTAATAAAATTCTTTCTCTTTTACTATTTAGCTAATAATCTTTGAGTTTTAAGAGTCTCTAACGAAATATTGCACATGTGAATTTCTTACTACTGAAAAAGGGTTAAAACAGCCCTATTCTGAACGGTGACATTAGCTATGTTAAACAGTATAATTTTAATTTTAGTGTCTATAATTTTTTACAGATTTTTGAGATTTGCCACTTTTTAGTTAATAATCATTGGGTTTTAAAGGTCTCTAATTGAATATTGCACATGTGCACTATTTACCATTAAGAAAGGGTTAGAACTGTCCTATTTTGAACTGTGACATTAATCTTATTAACCCTTTCTCTCCTAACGCCGGTTATAGCCGGCATCCACGATGCGAGTCGCAGAGACTGGCTGAATTCGTCGAGATCCTGGCCAAAAGTCCAAAAATTTTTTTCAGATTTTAAAAAATTTACGTATTGCGAACTAATTTATGCACAGCAGCGCCTCTTGTATGTTATTGTTCCACAATTTCCAATTATTAATTAAATTATTATTGTTATGTATATGAATTGTATTATTGACGCCTAAAGCAAGGTCAATACGAAGTAAACCCGAAGACTGTCCACACTTTTGACGCTGGGTCCCGTTCAGTGGAGGCACTTTGGCGGAGCGAACCGAAAGGGTTAAACAGCATAATTTCACTTTCAATTTTCACGCTGTTCCACGTAAAAATAGCTCACGTTTATACTTCTTCTCTGAGAATTCCAGAGACCTG